TGGATGACACGGAGTGGGGGAAAGGGGATGCCGAGGTGAGGGCGTTAGCCTCCTGGAAGGCCAAAAGGGCCAACCAGAATAAGTTTAGTTTAAATGAGGATGAGGAGGAAGAAGTGGGGAGGTTGGTGAGGAAGAGAGGGGAGGAGTTGAATATCATGGACCTCACCAGCGCAGCATGCATAGAGGCTGCTGAGCTCTATGGGCCAAGCGCTCTGAGTGAAGGTTTGTTTGTTATATACTGTAGTGTTAAATGTAGAACATAGATTTGTGACTGATATTGTGTTTCTTGCTTTGCAGCTGACATGGATCAATTTTTGAACACTGCTGGAGGGAAGGCCATCCCCAAGAAGCCAAGGAAGAAGTCAAGGACTTCAACCAAGCAAGTGGATGAGGGGAGAACTGGGAAGGAGGTAGTGCCTCTGGCTTTAGCTGAGACGGAGGACGAGGTGCCACCGTTGAAGAGGAAGGGTTGGGAGGAAAGGAGGGCAGCAGAGAAGAAACAGAAGGTGGTGGAGGAGGGAAAGGAGGATGAGGTTCCTGAGTTCGTACCTCAGCCTCCTTCTGTTGAGCTAGACCCCGAGCTCAGACGGTTGGAGGAGGGGGCTGAGGTACGGGCTCCTGGGAAGGGGAAGGGCCCAGTTTCTCCTGCGGTGTCTCAGAGCAGCCTGTTCGAGGTGAACAACGTAATGGGGGCTAGGTGGTTTATCAACAGCACCTTCCCCAAGGTGGACAAGTGCAACGCACGGGAGGAAGCTCTGAGGTACGGAGGAGCATCTGTGGTGAAGCATGTTCTTGAGGTATGTGAGATCAGCGTTTGTGATTTATTTATTCTGTTTCTTCTTCTCTTCTTTCTTTTTGAATTTCTGTTTCGATTTGCAGAGCGCGAGCTGGGTGAATGGTCTAGCCCAGGAGTTCAGGGAGAGTATAAAGGAGCGCGCACTGTTGCAGAGGCAGTGTGACCAACTGCGGAAGGAGAAGGAGGAGCTGGAGAAGAAGAATAAAAATCTGCAAGAGTCATTGGACGAGGTGGTTCCAAATCTGAAACAGTTGGAACAGGAGAGGGCTTCCTTGAGCACCAAGCTCGTTTTTGAGGAGAGCAAGCGAAGGATCGCTGAAGGCGAGCGTGAGGCTCAGGCAAAAGAAACGAAGCTGGTGACGGAGGCGTTCAAGGAGCTGAAGGGGAATATGCAGAAGTTGGTGCATAATGGGATGAAGGAGCACATCAGCAACTTCATCAGTTCCAGCTCATTTGACAGCATCGTCAACCTGTATCGGCTGCCCACTGCCATTATTGCTTTCACGGACTGCAGAAAGAAGGTGAAGGCTGCATATCCCGAAGTGGATGTGACAAAGGTCACCTTCGGCGAGCAAGAAGAAGGAGTGGAGGAGGATGGTGAGAGCATGTCAGCAGACTTCCGTCCTCAGATCAAACTGAGGTGGGAGGATGATGCAGACGGTCTTCCTGTTTTTCCTCCACAGTTCGACTTCGAGTTCGTTGCAGTGGAGGAAGAAGGAGCAGAGGTAGAGGGAGACGAGGTGGAGGCAGGAGTGGAGGGAGCTGAGGTGGATGGGAGCCAACCACCTCCAGAAGTGGAGATCCATCCAGTTCCCTCTGACGATGAGGAGCCTCCTCTGCCAGACGAGCAGCAGCCAAGACAGCCACCTCTTCCAGCTGAGAAAGAGCCAGTGGAGCCACCTCTCTCAGAAGAATAATTTCCTTGTTGCTTTTTACTTTTTTAACGTTTTGTAAAGACATTTACAGCTTGTATTCTTTATTTTGACTGAAATGAAAGTTTATATTTGAAATCATATGTTTGTTTATATTTGCTTTACATTTTTGGTATTATTTTTTATGAATAAAAGAACTGAGGGTACTTGAGACTGGATTTGGGAAGAATTAAGAAGTAATTCACTTCGGACGAATTAAGAGGAAGTAAGAAGTAATTCACTTCAGACGAATTAAGAAGAAGTAAGAAGAAGTAATTCACTTCAGACGAATTAAGAAGAAGTAAGCCACTTCATATAAATTA